GGCTTTTGCTTCAAGCTCTGAAAACACCGTTTGGTTTGCTGCTTAGTTGCAGGGACACCCCGTTATCTGTTCACACAACCATAAAAGCAAGCAAGGCATGGTATTGCCTGGGTTTACAGCCATGTCACCGGGGTACGTGTCCACCTCGAGCCTGAGAGGAAGAGAATGGTTGAGGCACAGGCCCACCACTTCAAATAATTCGATTCACTTTTTTGTTTCTGCTGTTGAGTTCTTTTGGGTCTTTGTGGTTTGATTTCTGTGTTCTGATTTTCCATCTGCAAAATGCCTCCTGTCTCTCAGACATTTTTATGCCTTGACCTGTTGGATGAGAAGGTCTCTGAGGCAGAGGGGTTGTGGTTTCTGCGACACCGCGGCCAGCAAGGAGCGACTTTCAAAGCACTGCTTTCCCCCCATTGCAGTTGGGATGACGTTAAGTGTTTGGATTCCTTAAGTTCTCACCTGCTAAAATATTTTAGAGGCTGTCAGTGGATTCTGAAGGACGTTTCAGCCTCTGCAGGTTGGGGAGGAGGGGGGGGTTGTAGTTAATGCCGACATACGGAGCGTCCCGAGGGGGCGTTAATAGCAGGCGTGTTTGCTCCGCTCTCCGGAGTGCCCCTTCGGTTCCATCTCTGAAGTGATTCTTCCTTCCCTCAATCTGGCTCTGTCTTTCAATTAGAGACTGGGATTTGCAGCAGAACAAACCAGCAGACTTTAAAATACCAGCTGTGCTTTCTTTTAAATGCTTTCTTCTTTCACAGGCGTGCTCGGGGAGCGTGCGGGGTCTGGTGTTTTCCTCTCCAAGGTGGTCCCTGCGGGTTGGGGTTTCAAGTTTGTGATTATGGTGGGATTTGTTTCTCTGGATTACGGAAGAATAGCTTGCAAGAGGTGTTGATGATTGTACTAGCAAGAAAGAAGGTTTGTTTTGGTTTTAATTAGTAAAACCGTGACTCAAAATGTTTTAGTAGATTGACTAAAACATGCAGTGCCTTAATTGTGCTCCAAGAGGATTCATTTGTGTCTGCTCTCTGGAAAACGCTGTTCCTTACTGTCCTCCTGTGTGTGTGTCATGTTTGTCACGTGCAGGGCAGGAGCGGATTGGCAAAGACTCGCACTACGAGCAGGAGGGGAAGGTGCAGTTCGTCATCGACGCGGTGTACGCCATGGCGCACGCGCTGCACCACCTCAACAAGGACCTCTGCGCCGACTTCCCGGGGGTCTGCCCCGAGATGGAGCACGCGGGGGGCAAGAAGCTGCTCAAGTACATCCGCAGCGTGAACTTCAACGGTGAGCGGACGCCGCGGCTTCGGGAGCGTGTTGACACGTGTGACTTTTTTCCATTTAATTTCACTTTGTATATTCTCTCGTTCAATGCAAATCAAGACTTTTCATAGATTTAATAGATTTTTTCTAGGTTGGAAAAGACCTTAGAGATCATCCAGTCCAACCATCCCTAATCTCCTATTAAACCATATCCCTAAGTAGTTCATCCACCCTGTTCTTAAACACATCCAGGGATGGGGACTCAACCACCTCCCTGGGCAGCCTATTCCAGTGGCTGACAACCCTTTCAGAGAAGAAATACTTCCTAACATCCAACCTGAATCTCCCCTGACTAAGCTTATACCCTTTTTTTTTTTTTATTGTTAAGCTGAAGTTTGGGGGGGAATCACAGAATGTTAGGGATTGGAAGGGACCTCAAAGGATCATCTAGTCCAATCCTCCTGCCAGAGCAGGACCACTGACCATGTTTATTTAGTATCTATTTGAAAACATCATGTTTTAGCCAAAGCAAATAGGCTACTACTACTGTTTCAGGATACCTTCCAGAAGACTGATTCCTGATGGGACAAATAACTGAATAAAAGCCTCAGCTTGTCTCTGACTAGATATGCCTGTTGAAACCCTAGAAGTTTGTTAGCACCACACGTAGTTTTTTCCTCTTTATGTTGTTTCCTGTACTAGGAGAAAACTAATTGGAGGAGATTCTGGTACCTTGAACCTGGCTTAGCTGCGTGCTCAGGAGAAGGGGGAGGACAGCTGAAGGGCCAGGCCCTCTTGCAGAGCCACAACTATGTGATTTAGATAGAGTAGTTACTCCAACCCTTATTCCTCTAGTAAGACTTCAGAGGAGGTGAAACATCCTGGGAATGAGGATGGGGACACTTTATCTCTTTGCTTGTCACTCATCCCCCTGCGCTTCCCAAGTGTGGCACTGGTGGTTGCAATACCAGCCCTCTGTGTCCTACGGTACAACAGGCTTTTCTCTTCATTGCAGTGTATGAATATCAGCAAAATTTCCTTGTCTCCGTGTGTTTTACTATAATTTTATTAGTTTCACTAACAAACATTCACCTGTGACCAGCCCAGGGGCACCGGGGCAGATCCCTTACGGCAGGTGAGGTTACAGCAACCTGAGGTCATGAACCTTGCTGATGTCCTTACCAGAGCCTTGCTGCTCTGCCCTAGCTCTGTATGAGACAGAGATCTGAGATTTGACCAGCAGCCAAAAGTTAGACCTCCAAATCCGTATTTAGAACAGATTTAGGGAAGTACTGAAAGAATGTCCTTTGAAACGTGGGAGGCAGCCGGGCTGTCGCTGCCTGGGCAGAGGGGTTTGCTCAAGCTTCATGTCCTCGTTGAGCAGCGCGGGGAGGCGTTCCCTGCTGCCAGCTACTAATAAACATTTTTATTAAAAAGCTTAACAAAACCCACACAGAGCCTATAGGACCTGAGAGCTTTAAAGGTAGGAACACAGATGGTATCTTGTGGTCAAGCTTGGTCATTTCAGAAAATCGCAGAATTGTAGAATGGTTTGGGTTGGAAGAATGTTTTGCCAAGGATATTTTTCCTTCCTGTATAAATTGTCTTCTAAAACAGCAAGGTGAACATGAGGAGGTTTTAATTTCTTTCCTTGAAGTAAGTGGTGTTAACTACAGCCAGGAGCAGATTTTGAGATGAATGATCTGAGGAGGTCTGGAGAGTTCCGCTTTCCTCATTTTGGAAGGTTAATTGTAAAGGACAAAGCTCCTGTAGAAGTAGTGCAGCATTGATCTATGGTACTGCACCTGGGCCGTTTTAGTGCTGAAAACCAGCTCACACATGATCATCTCTAGACAGTTCTTGCCTGTAAAGATGCTGAGCAGTCATCTAATCATGTTAGTAGAGGTGAGAAATAATGTAAGAGAAATTGAGTGTCTGGTTAGCGTTGCCTACTGTCCAGCTCCAAGAATTTGTTTGCGCCAACTTTGGTTTCCTTATTTGAGATTCCTTGGTCAGGCTTTTAAAAGATGACTTTTTTCCCCTCCATTTGTGATTGATTCACGTGGTCATATGGTGTTTTTCTGTGCTTGTATACATGTAACTCGTGTCCAGCACAAGGACTGAAGTAGTGGTTTGCTTTTTAGCATGGGAAAGAGAATGGTGGCAAAACTGAGATAGATTAAACCCTTTTAGTTTCTCTTGGCTATCTGGGTGTAGGCATTTTCTGTGGCAAAAGAACCAATTCCTTTTAAGATTCGTAATCCAGGGGCAGAGTTTAGCTTTTTCTTGTCATATTCATAGTGCATAACCGCACTTGTGTTTGTACACCCGGGCTCCATGTTCAGCTGCGACCCTCCTGAGGCTTGTTCCTCAGGCTATAGAAAGATGCTCTGAAGCCAGTTTCTTCTCAATATTCTATTAAAAGTAGATTCCCAGAATTGCTGTGGATTGGCTCAGTCTTCCCAGTGGCGCAGGATAAACAACCTTCATATACCTCACCAGACAGACAAGGCCAGCCTGAAGAAAATGCAGAGGGATGAGGGAATGGAAGAAGCAATGAGGGAGGCTTGGGTTGGTCTGGGTGGTCCATTCCTTTTGCTAAAGCTTGGGAGCTCCTGAGACACAGGTGCTGGTGCCTACGTGTTCCGTGGCCATCGTGTCATGGCTGGGAGGGCCGGGACGGAGGGGTGCTGCTGGGCTCGTGTCTGCTGTCTTGGCTTTAGCCTTGATCTTAACCTGCCCTTCCCCGAGACACTGGTGCAGCTCCATCTCATGAAGGTTAGGACTTGGAAAGCAATATTTAGTCTGTGCCTAAATTTGTAGTAAAACCAGAAAGTAGAGCAGTGGGAGTGCTTTGTCCAGACTGTGTGCCAGGGAGAAAAAGTGTAGCCCGTTTTTAAGCATCCTGAGCCTATGAGCTCGAGATGCTCTTCGCATGTCATAGATGTCCTGGTCACTGTGCAGCTGAGGTCATCCTGCCCGTACCTGCTTTTGGAGTAACGACATTCATGCAGCAAGAGCTCGGGCACCGCTTCAATGAAAAGAGACTGGGTTTGTACTAGGAGCTCAGTGTGAATTTTGATATCGTGACACTACCTTGAGAACAAAAAGGCCCAAAACATGGAAAACTCAAAACCTCAAGTGCTCATGCAGTGAGATTCTGAAAATCTCAAAGTGGTTTTATTTTTGCCAGTGAAAAAGCTGAAGATTCTGTTCTTACGAGCACTTCAGGTCCTCAAACTGCAGCAGACATGAACGGAATAATACAGAAACACGGTAGCTGGTGACACCTGTCTGGCACCCTGTCCTTCTACTAATTCACTTCTTCTCTTGTGGCGATTAAGAGATTGAAATCCTACAAATTCAGTCAGATGGTGTCTTTTTTTGAATGCCTCCTGCAGGTGAAAGGGTGTCATGTACTCTCGGTGGCTGCGTGGTGAGAAGGCAGCTTCTTTGTTGGGAACAGAAGATGAGTTGAATTGTCATCGTCTCTGAATGAGCAAGAAGCTGCAGTCTGGAGGCTGATCCTCAGCTTCTGAAGTGCTCGCTGGGGCTGAGCAAAATGCTTCTAAATCTTAATAGAAGCAGAATAAATTCCAAATTATCAAAAAACTGAACAACTGTATGTTTTAATAATCAGATCAAGAAGTCAAACAGCAAACAGGATCGTTTTTGAAAATACTGTTCCTTCTCTATAATGAGGTTTTCACACATTACTTTTTATTATTTTCGTAAGTGCATGAAGTAACCTGAATTGCAAGTGGAGACCGAAATGCCATAGCAATTTAAAATGGCTGACGGGTCCCTGCGGACCAACAGTACCAGAAGAGCAGCCCAGCATGCCCCAGAGCCCACGCCAAGGCTACGGAGGGCTTGCACTTACTAACTAGGTCCTTGACCAGGAGTCCAGTTACTCCAATTTCAAAGTCAGGAAACGGGACGCTTCTGCTTGACTTGTGACCCAAGAGTATCATAGAACCACAGAATGGGTTGGGTTGGAAGGGACCTCAAAGATCATCCAGTTCCAACCTCCCTGCTGTGGGCAGGGACACCATCAGTTCTTTGCGTTTTTATAGATATTAGTCTTCCCTACAGATCCCAGACTTTTCACAGCTGTATTTCTGGATAATTTTAACACACGAATGGTGATGTACCTGAAAATAGCAACAGGTCTTTACTACTGACTGTCAGGTATCCATATGCATGCGTGAGGTTGATGTCCCAAGGGACTGTGCCTTTAGGGGCCCCTGACCCAGCAGACCGTGCTGTATCGGGCTGTGTTGCTGTGGAGTCAGCAGCCCTGTGGCATCCGAGTGCATCCACTGATCTTCAGGATTATTTTAAATGTCAGCGTTTCAAAGCTGTCTGCATGCAGCTACAGAAAGCAACAATTAGTGGTAACCAGCAAAAAGGTTTCTTCCTCCTGCAAAACACAGAAATGGTGCGTTTTGGAGTGACAGTTCCTCATATGTTCTCACTTTAAGACCTCTGGGGTCCATAACAGCACCTCTCCTTCACGCTGGCCTTCTGCTTATTGACCCTGTTGTCCACTGCCCACCCCTTGGCAGAAGACTTTGAGGCAGCAGAGTTTGTCTCGGCACTGTTGGTTTGGTGTGGCTGTGATGGTGGCATGGGCTCTTGGTCTGCCTCCTGCCATGTAGGCATGGACGCTTCTGCGTGTCCGTGCTGGGGTTTTGTCAGGATGGGGGGAATCCACAAATGTCTGCATTGTGTTTTGTGAGCCTCACTTGAGCTCCTGCCCTTCGAATTGTACTTTTTTGTCGGCTCCAACAAAACCGAGCTGAACTAATAATGTACAGCCTTTTAAGAGTCGTGATTTGCTAAATCCCATTTACCATTTGTGCTGACTTTCCAAAGGAGCATAGGAATTACACCCATTTCTTCTTATTCACTTAAAGTGTTTTCACTGTAAATGTATTCTGGCCACATTAATCTGTAATGACAATTAAATATCTGCCTAGTGCTCGTAAGGAACCAGTGAGGGGAGATTTCAGTGGAAGATTTTCGGTGCCAGCCTTTGAACTGAATCTGTATCTGATCTCAGAGGATTGTAGGATAGACAGGAAACAATTTAGCAGGCCTAGAATGGAAACTGCTAATTCACTCCTTCAAATCTCTTTTTACTCGCTGGAATTCAATGAAGAATGGGAATCATGAAGAAAACCATAATCTTAAAGTTCAATGCTACAACAGGAGAGATTTTTCATTGCTTTAGGGGAAAAAAAGTTGCGCAGGAGGAGGAAGCTGTGAATATAGATACGCTGGAGTCTTGTCATAATCTTCAATCTTGACACAATATTACTCTACCCTTCTGAAACCTATTTTAATATGTCTTGAAATAAATGGCACCCTTGAAGTTTTCACCTTGAGATCTGAGGACATGCGACGCTGCTTTGAATTCTCATCTGAGAAAGGGTTGACGGCTAATGCCGTGGTAATTAAAATGCAGATGGTCTAGTGAGGCCTCGCCGGAGGATCAGGAACCGGCTGTCCCATCGCTCGACTGGCGGAGCACCTCCGGGCTGCCGGCACAAAGGAGGTGTTGTGGGGTGTCCATGCCGTGCTCCTGGCCCTGCGCTTCCTTTCCCGTGTCATCACCTTAGTGTATGGCAGATCAAGTTAATTCAGGATCCTGAACTGTTCCTGACTGAGATACTTCTCAGTCAGTGTCACAGAGCCTAAACAAGGGAGTACACAAGGAACAGTCTTCCTATAGCTTAATCTGTTCTCTTCCATCCCAACTGCACGTCGTTTATGGGAATAAGAACATACTGTGGAGGAGGAAGCTATTTCTGGATGCTAGTCAAGATTCACTAGACCTGGGCTGTCTTCTGACAGCAGTATCTCTCAGAAGCAGATGGAACATTTTCTGGGGGAAAAAAAAGTCATTTAGAGGCTCCATTCACAGGAGTGATTTTCACTGAAGAACTCCCTGAGGAAAGAGATGGGAGGGAGGCTGGAGGGCAGGAAGAAGAGCCTTCTGATATTTCTTGCTTTGTGCAAAACTAGAGTGAAGTGAGGCTGATCTAGTTTTGCTTTGTTTTATTTTCAGTCAGCAGGTTTGGGCAGTGATAGTTAATCTCTGGAAGAGGGCTAGGATGGCGCCGCTGTGTCCTGATGGATCTGTGTTAGATGGCCGGGGTGATAGATGGTGTTTGCCTGAAACACATTGCCAGTCTGAAAGCTCTCAATCGTGGCTATATAAAACAGATATTGTAAAGATTTGGCATTGGTTGGTTGGATTTTGTCTGGTTTCCTCCCCCCAGGCAGTGCTGGCACCCCAGTGATGTTCAACAAAAACGGTGATGCCCCAGGACGCTACGACATCTTCCAGTACCACACCACCAACACCAGCACCCCGGGCTACCGCCTCATCGGCCAGTGGACAGATGACCTCCAGCTCAATGTGAGTCTATTTTATTCTTTGCTTGCTCTTTTTTTGTCAGGTATAGTCGCTAAATGTGTGGGGTTTTTTCATCCTGCAAAAATTAATAGGGATCTTTACCGTTTCTTCACAGCTACATAATGGGTTTGGGTGTTTTTTTTTGCATATTGTCTTCTTTTACTCTATCCTGCAACCTTTTCTCTGTACCCTGACTGCCAAAGCTCCTCAGACTAATAGAGACATTAGGTGATCATGCAAATTTTATTGCTTTTGTGTGCCTGAAGTCCCTAGTTGCCAACTTGGAAAATGAAGCAGTAATGCTTTGTAGTTTGAAACCAATGGGCTTTCATTTGCAGATGCTCTTCAGTTTTTCTAGTTTTAGGAAAGCTGAAACTAAATGATTTTTGAGTGACTCGCTTTTTAGATGTTACTTTTAAGCATGTAGCAAAGATATCCATAAGAATGGGATGGCCTTTTTGTAGTGACGCCTAAAGAAAAAGAAGCACGTAAGAGCAGGTGATCACAGACCCCCAAGATACTTTGATGTTTCCCAGATGAAAAAAACACGACTGGTGGCTGAAGGAGCTGGAGGCTCTTGTGGCACCTTTGTCCATACAAGGATGGTCTGTGACGGCTCCCTTGAGATCTGGGTTCAGGCTTCCTGCTTGACTTTGTGCAATTGCTTGAGCCTTGGAGTCATGGAGAAGTGGTACCAGTTTCACCTTACCGTTGTTTGACTCTGTTATTAAAGCACAAAGTCAGTGTTTTCCCTTCAGCAACAGGTATTCCCAAAGTGACATGCCAGTAGCTACCGAAGGGTTTTCCTCTCTCAAAGTTCCCACCTGAGGTTATACCAGCTCCCTCTCCAGACATCATCCATCCTTGGTGTGTTGTGGCTCATTCCCTGCCTCTGCTGCCAGATTTCCTTTCAAAGCAGTGTGGAGGGTGAAAGGGGAGGCTGCGTGAGCACGGGCCGGTCCTGACACACGCTCCAGAGGTGCCCAGGACATCCCTGGCACACAACGTGTGGTCACAGCAGCTGTGCTTTGTGCTTTGGGTCTGTGTGACACCCCCACCCAACGCTGGCTGCCCCCGGAGAACGAGACCCGTTGATGGTGGGGAGATGTTAGCTGCTGCTCCAGCGACGCGGCTCTTCTGCTGGGGTGCAAGCCATGGGCTGCCAGGGCAGAGCGAACCACCGTCTTTGGAGTGAAACTGAAGGCAGGACCTTTTTTATTTCTAGTTTTAATGTTTTCTTGTCTTTTTCAAGTGAAGTCATTAATGTGGATTACCAAGGGTCTGGTCTTCGAGACTGACCACGTTATTTTGCTCTTCGTGACTTTTGACTCATTTTGATGTGCTGTATGCTATTTCGGTGGGTTTCAACTTTTGATGTTCTATTTAAGGAAAACTATATTAACTTGCAATTTATAGTTCTTTTACTAAAAATATTAATATTTTATTAAGTAAACCCTTCTTTATATAAACTACACATCCTGATTCATTAAGATTTAAAGCTAAATTAGTGGAGCTTGATTTGTATTCCTGTTTTTGTGTTAAATGTTTCCATAAAAAGCACACTTTCCTCACCCTCATATCCTAATGGCAACGGGGTTGTATCAATAGTTGAGATTCTCCCAGTAACTTGCCTTCTACTCACTTACAGATCCTGGTTTCTCACACAGGATTAGCTTTGCTATGATGGTCCTTCTTTGTATTTTCTTACAACAATAAAGAAAATTGTAGAGTGCAGAGAAGTCAAGGATTCCCTGAAATAACCAACCAAACTAGTAGCTGCTCTTAAATATATCCCAGGAAAAACTACAAAAGGCTACGATTTGTTGTCAGTAATTATTGTGGAGATAACACTTAGGGATATATTTCCCCAATTCTTATTTCTTTAATACCAACACAAGAGGGAAAACAGAAGGATGTTTGGTAAGAGTGCTGATTTTAATTTAGAAAATGCTGAAGTGATGTTTCATTTTCCAAGAGACTTCTCATCTTGGGCAGTCTGGTTTGGTTCTGTGTGTCTGAATTTCCTCAGTTACAAAAGAAAAATGTTGTTCTGCCCTATTGGTAAGGATGCTCCAGATCTCGAAGGTGGCAGGTAAATAAGTGCCGAAGACCACCACAGGTGAGTAAATATTTTATTCTTTATCATTGTCCTCATTCAAAGAAGGAGCAAGAACGTTTTGCCATTTTATTTCCCTGGAAGTAGCGCTATTGTCCAGTCTATCACCAGTCTAATCTACAGTGGCACGTCATGCTCCCAGTCACGGTATTTCAGAGGGAAAGGCAGAAGTAGGGAGGCACAGGGCTGATTAATCTTGATAGCTGTAGCAGATTTTTTCATGTAAAATTACAGAATAGCTTCTCCCTACATTTCTCTTTCTGTCGCATAAGACTGATGAGATCTTTAAAAAGATATTTGCAAATCTTAAAATACGCTGTATCAGTTTGTTTTCTTTTTGTTGTCATGAGTTTATAAGCCTGGGTTGACAATTCTCTCAATCCTGATGGCTGCTCCACAGCTCTGTGTCACCTTTGCTTTGTATGTCTGGCAGAAGTGTCGAGCAAAGGCCGGTGCCTGTTCCCAACCCGCGCAGGAGCCGGACTCCGCGCTCCCTTTAGCAAGTTTTTTATGGGAAGTGTCTCCTCTGAGGGCAGTTGACTCGCTCTGGATTGACATTTTTGGATCTGAGGTCAGAACTCAGTCGATAACCAAGAAAATATGTTGTGACTTTTCACTGCAGCAAACTTGGGGTGTAAAGTAGATTTTACGTAAGGACAGAACAATCACCAAATTTTCTTTCGCTTGCGCGGTGTCAGGCAACCTGGCACAGCTTTGCCTAGTGCTCAATGCATGATTTAGTGAAAGCTTTGGCTGTATTTCACCGATCTCTATGCAAGGATAACACGAGCAGATGTCTAATTTTAAATGGCTTGGCCAGTATTCCATGAAAAACCGTTTAGTGCTTTGTTCTCCCTGCAGTCAAATTGTGATTACGAGATGCCCACCCACCTCCCATCAGAGGTCATGGGAGAGCACCTCCTGCCTCCCTCGCTTCGGTGAGGATTATGTCAAGCTCCGTCAGCCCCTTCTCGCCCCCCTGCCTGCAGATGTAGCATGAAAATACTGACAGTCCGCATCCTCCTGCAGTTTGAAACGCTTTGCCCTGAATTTTAGGATCGGAAATTTGGGCAGCTGCACCCCCGTTGAAATCCAGTGTCGTGACCCCCGCAGCCTGTCGAATAGCAAAGACACAGCTCGTGCCATTAGACCATAAAAGTGTTGACCACAGTAACATCAGCGTCTGAAACTGGGGCGGTACGTTGCTGTGCTGGTGTGGAGGGCACGCTTCGGTGTCGCGAGGAGAACTGGTTTGACTGTATTTAGCTTTACTGGTGCGTTTGAAGAGCCAAAAGTGCTGGTGGTGAAAAGGAGGGAAACTGCCATGGGGAAAAGGAGGTGTGTGATGTACCAGCTGGTTTTTGGTTGTTTTGCTTTTCAAATGGGTAACTTCTTCCCCCCCTCCCCGACTCCAGCAATAACTAGATCCCAACACTTGTGCTGTTCAAGCACTAGGAAATAGTGAGGATGACTGCGAGTTAAGCACGAAGGCAGAGCAGCTGGGAGACAGAGGTTCTGCTTTCATGCCTTATGTTTCACTTTCAATTTTAGAAAGATAATTAACTCTCTGCGCTCTGTTTTACCCCACGTACACCATAGATCCAATAACAGCAGATGTCATCTTGCCACGTGTGCCTGCCTTTGCTGGTCTCCCTAAAGCACTTTGAGGGCAGGAGGTGTGATGGGAACACGAGGAGCTGCCTGACCAGCTCTCGTTGCCCCTGGCTTCTACCAGTGCAGCCTCCAATGCTCTGAAGTGCCTGAAAAAAACCCCACATCTCTCCTGGAGGAACTGATGTGCCTGAAGGAGAAAGAAATGGATCACTCCTAGAGGAACCGCGGGTTCTCATGGGAAATTTGGAGATATTGCTTCTCTTTCTCTATATAGAGTTAAGTCAGCAGGTCCCGGGTTTATTATGTTTTCATATCCAAACCTCTGCAAGCATCTCTGAACTGTCAAAATCCAAAAATAAAGAAAACAATCCCTGTGAAATTGGTGAATCTTATTTTCCCAGGGATTTGTCTTCTATATACCCTATCACAGCAGCGTTCTTCATCACCTTCCCTGTGACTCCTTCCTGTAGTTATCTCCACAATTTCCCTGCAGTGCCTGAACTCCCTCCCACACCCCTATATCATCTGCTGTGCAAACGACAGCCTGTTTTGTGGCTCTCTTTGAATTACACGTATGCCAACTGGTTGGCTGGCCGAACCAAAAGGGTGAGAGTGCTCAGGGTTGGTGGATCTTTCTTCTATCTACTGGATTTTACCAATCCTGCAGGCACATCCTTCAGAAATCTCTGCTTGTAGCAAACATGCTTCAAATTGGCCTGCAAGTTCAAAAGTTATTAGGAAGGAAGTTGGTACAGACAGATGGATGGGCAGACAGAACATGCATACGCTCCACTTCCTTCAAATTTTGTTCTAAAACGATAGCAAAACTTAGAAATTTCCAACAGCTATGCAGAATGAAAAGTACAGCTAGTCTTGCTGTTAATAATCTTTTTGTTAAAAATGTGATTTATGCAAAAGTGTTTCCCAGTAAGTAGACTGCTGTTGGATTGGACAGGCAGGCATCCCACTTTGATCTCTTGTATCGCCGAAGTGAGCAGCAAACTTGCGTTTGACCGAAAAGTCAGAGTTTTGGCCTTTTCTTCCATCTGTACCCTGTTTTCCTATTTCATACTGACAAGCTTTTGGAAGTCATTAAAAGGCTGAGCTCATTCAAAGTTTTCAGTTTGAGTGGCTCAGTCCTGGTTTGGATGTGTTGGCACCGTGGAAGCTGAGCTGTGAGCAGGTTGGAGAGACCTGTCCGGGCTCTCGCGTACGGACAGCAGCTGCTTTCTGTCATCTGGCAACAAACAAACGAGTCGCTGGGGCATTGAGA